AGAGAGAGAGAGAGAGAGAGAGAGAGAGAGAGAGAGAGAGAGAGAGAGACTTGTGACAGTATGCAAGGAAAGCAGCAGAAGCCACAGAAGTCTTTCTCTCTCCCAAACTCTGTCAGAAATGAGACTTGTGCCAGCGCAGCCTCTTGTGCTTTGGGGGGGGTGGGGGGAGACAAATTTCTCTGCGGACCACCAAAATGGACAAACTTCTCTGCGGACCACTGTTCTAGTCCAACCCCCAAGCAGGAAACCTTATACAGGAAGTCCTCGACTTATAACAGTTCTTTTAGTGACTGTTCAAAGTTACAATATCACGGAAAAAAGTGACATGTCCATTTTTTCACACAACCGTTGCAGCGGTCATATCAAAATCCAGATGTTTGGCCACTGGCTCCTATTTACAACGGTTGCAATGTCCCAGGGCAATGTGATCCCTTATACAACCTTCTGGCAAACAAAGTCAATGCCAGGGCTCCGACAATCCACCCCCATTCGAATCAAGAGTCTACTTGCATCTTTCAGAGTTTTTTTAAAAAAATCATTTATTATGAGTGAACATGTCGGAGCCAGCCAGCTGACACTAAGACACATCATTCATCTGACGCTTGACCCTGGTCTTCCCCCACCCCCTGGATGTATATTCTCCAATGGGACACATCCATAGCCAAGAGTCATCAATCATGCTCTCCAGTAATAATCTTGCATGCCAGAAACTTCGGTCACCTAGCAATTATCTAAGGTATGCATTACTCCCCCCACTCCCTTTCTGCTGACAATGCTAAAAGACAAAAAGAGAAATATTTTTGAGTTGACAGTCAATTTATGAAGCTAAATTCAATTTACAACTTAACAACTGCAGTGATTCACTTAACAGCCGTGGCAAAAAAGAGCCGTAAACTGGGGCAAAACCCACGCCACAAATGTATCACTTAGCCACAGAAATTTTGGGCTCAAGTTATGGTTGTAAGTCGAGGACAGCCTGTATCATTTCTGACCCAGTGGTTGTCCAATCTCTTCCAGACTAACACACCTCCAGACTAACACAGTTTATGTCCTTAGATGTAGGCTCACATTAGGTCATAATTCAAGGACTACCTGTATCATATCTTGAGTGTTGTACTTGATGCTTTTCTTCCTTTCACTTTGTATGTCAGGTCTTTGGTGGAAACTGGCCAAGATGCATTTATTGGATCATGAAGTCACTATGGCATTTTTGAGATATGGAACCATTCTTATAGTGAAAATGATGCTCATGAGCTTCATCACGGCTTTCTTCCGAATGAGGAAAAAGGTGAGAGACGAAGGTTGGAGTTACGAAAAAACAAAAGTGTATAGAGTGAGACTTGTAAGCATGACACTTTGCATAATAAGCCAGGATTGATAGGAGTTGTGCTTTTATGTATCTATACAGGCTAAACCAAGGGTCTTCAAACTTGGCAAGTTTAAGACTTGTGGACTTCAACTCCCAGAATTCCTGAGCTAACATCACTGGAGGAAGAATTATGGAAGTTGAAATCCACAAGTCTTAAAGCTGCTTTGAAGTCCCCTGGGCTAAACTATCATATCTTTGGGTTTGTAATTTATTACGGACTAACACTATGTACAAACCAGGCCTCTTGTGGGTTTTTTTTTTTTTAAAATAAAGCATATTTCAAAATAACAGATTTCTTTATCCTATTTACCACCACAATAGAATCATGACTCTTGGGGAGTGTAATATAAATGGAATAATTTTTAAAATAACTAAAATAAGACAAATCAAGCATCCATGGTAGATTCATTTCTATTGGCATCCTTCTTAGTGATGTTAATTATGGTAATAGTAACCAAAGATCTTAAAAAGGATTAGGACGCAATAGGAATGGGTAGAATTTCAGTTTGTCAGTTACAAAAAATAGCAATACTAAGGATAGTGCATATGTTTACAATACAGGTAGTCCTCCAGGTATGAATGTAATGACCCGAGGATTTGTGGGAGTGAATCTTGTACCTTGATCGTGATCACTCCCTCCTTTCATCTATGCATTTGCTAATAGAATGCGAGGCTTGTTAAGTGCACATGAGGTATTTCAGGATGGGGAAGGCCATGGGGAGGGGCTAGTGATGGAACAGGCCACCTCCCTAAGACCACCCAAGGCCTCCCCAACCCACTGAAATACTGCATGGTCCACATAATTGCTCTCCCCTCCCCAGCCTGATGTGCTGGGTCACTTGTAAAGATCTAGCAAACAGTCTCCTTTCCAGCTGCGTGCGCCCCTCTGCAGTTCCATTCGGCCCTCCGTGGGCCTCGCTGGGGGAGGCCAACAGAGGGTCGAATGGAGCCTCAGAGGGCCGGATTTGCCCCTCAGAAGCTCCATTTCGGCTGGCAACCTGCTGGGCGAGGCCCATGAAGGGCGGAATGGAGCTTCAGAGGGCTGGATTCGCCCCTCAGAAGCTCCATTTCAGCTGGCAACCTGCTGGGTGAGGCCCATAGAGGGCGGAATGGAGCCTCGGGGCTGGATTCACCCCTCAGAAGCTCAATTTCCGCTGGCAACCTGCCGGGCGAGGCCCGCAGAGGCCCAAGTGGAACTGCAGAGTGGCGCATATGGCTGGAAGCTTGCTAGATCTTCACAAGGTAAGTGACCCAGTGTGGCAGATTGGGGAGGGGAGAGCAATTGTGGGGACCTTGAAGTATTTCAGTGTGTCGGGGAGGCCTCGGGCGGTCTTAGGCAGATGGCCTATTTCCATCACTAAGCCCAACAACAACAACAACAATAATAATTACATAATAATTACAGCAGAATCAACGAGAAACAACTTGAAAAAGTCACCAGATATCAGGACTTGAGAATCGAACTGCAGAGACTCTGGCATAAACCAGTGCAGGTGGTTCCAGTGGTAATCGGCACACTGGGTGCTGTGCCTAAAGACCTAGGCAAGCACTTAAAAGCAATTGGCGCTGACAAGATCACCATTGGTCAACTGCAGAAGGCCACCCTACTGAGATCTGCTCACATAATCCGCCGATACTTCACGCAGTCCTAAACATTTGGGAAGTGTTCGACTAGTGATTTGTGATACGAAACCCAGCATGGATGTCTTGTTTGCTGTGTATACTGTCATTTTTGTGTATAATAATAATAATAATAATAATAATAATAATAATAATAATAATAATAATAATAATAATAATAATAATAATAAATATATATATATATATAGGCATAGTAGTAAGCCAGAGTGGCATATCATTTTATTCGATACTGCAGTGCTGATTCTAACCACTGCCACCCCAGCCGACTCTGGCATGGTACCTTGTCATGTATTCTGCTCATTCTCCCGAATAGGCATTTGCTAATCCTGAAGATACAACATCGTTTGGAAAAGGAGAGAATGCGAAAAAATATCTAAGGACCGATCCTGATGTGGAACGTGTACGCAGGTAATTCTGGAGCTTCTTTATCCAGGACACACACAAAGAAAAAAATATACACATGAGATGGTAGAGTGTAAGAGGCATGTGTCCACACTTTATTTCAGTCACTGGCTTAGAAAAAATACTGATAGCTCCGTCCCTCGGTCCATTAATAACTCTCTTGTTTCTTTGATGATCCCTGTAGGGGTGAGCAAAATGTTCCGTGACTGTTTGCTTCCACACTCCTGACTCTCCACTCTCTTGGCCGTGTTTATGATGGCCTGCGCTATTGCAACTTTCTCGAGTTTGCATATTTAATTCCCACTGTCAATATGCCATCGAATTCACAGCAGAAATGGGCAGCAGCATGTATTGGCTATGCTATTCTTCCGCTGCTGATCTCTTGAATGCAATTTGCTGCTTCCCCTTTTTGTAGCAAACAAAAAAAAAATGAATTGGAGGGAAGGAGAAATTATCCCAAGGCTGATCCTAGGATCATCTTGTTTCGCTCAAATAGAAAAAAATAAAGCTCAAGTTTTTATTTGGATATATTTATGACCTCATGAATAGATGGCCCTTAATCTAGAAGATAAATCAGCCATTTTTCTTTTGAAGATTAATGTGAGTTCAAGAATAGCTGTTAATGTGACCAAGTAGGGAAATCCTATGATTGGAACTGTCTTTATGCCGGGACTAGCAAATCTGGGTTGCAAAAACCAAAAACTAGGTGGTAGCAATAGCTTTTTGTGACCCCCCTCTAATGGTCATTTGGAATGTTACAGCTCAGATGCAGTTATTCTTTCTGCCCCTTTGCCAGTATGGCAAAGTTCTCTCCACAATTTTCCCAAGTGTTTGCACAATAGATACGTAGAGTTGTGAACTACCATATTTTGAGCAAGGGTTCTTCAAGATGTCTCCAAATTAAATGCTGAGGGATGCTTTCAAGTGTTTCCAACGGGGCAGGCCTTGCAATCTCAAATTGAGTTTGGCGCGATTGTCACGTTTCTCAGTTGAAAGGCAGATTCTCAGTTGTAGCACGATGTAGACTTGGGCTCCAGCACAAGTCTGAAAGCTCAGAAGACTAAATCTCTGGTCCCAGTCACCGACCTAAATTGGATCCTGCAACATTATCCTGGGACACATATATTGGCTTTCATTCATAAAGACATTTTGTTGGTGCCAAATATGAAGAAGCCTCTAACACTGAATCTCCTTTGCTTCTTTCCCTAGAATCCATCTCAACGACCTGGAGAACATTGTTCCATTTCTTTTTGCTGGGTTTTTCTACTCTATGAGTGGTGTGAACCTCTCTACTGCTTTGCTGCACTTCCGAATTTTTCTTGGTTCTAGAATCTTCCACACCATTGCTTACCTGATACCTCTTCCCCAGCCCAGTAGAGGTTTGGCTTGGATGGCTGGTTACTTAGTCACCTTTTCAATGTTGTACAGGATTATAATGATTGCTTTCACTACATCTTAGAAAAGAAAGCTAATACTATTTTCAGCCTGTTGTACTTTGCAGGGTGCCTTATCCAGCCAATAGAAGAGAATATATTTAGCTCTGGGTTGAACTGTGGAGTCCTTGGTGCTTTCTGAACTTGTTTGTTTGCAAATGTCACATTACCTAAATAGGTAACACTATCAGTGCTAGTGAGTGTGGAGTGTGCTGCTTCTGGTGGGAGTGTGGTTTTCTCCTTGGGTGGTTCCTTGATTCGAGGAACTATCAAGGCCATATGAACATGACAAATAAATAAATCCGCCTGAATCAAGGAATTATCAAAGGGAAAAACCACAGCCCCACTAAAACTGGCAGGACAAGTTACTGCATATGAATACCCCACACTAGCTAGCATCGATAATGTTACCTAATCGGGTAATGAAACGCCTGCAAGCGACCAAGCTCAACAAGCACCAAGGACTCCACCATTAATTCTTCCTCAGAAAAACTCCTTCCTATCTGCCTCCCAACTTTCCAATGTATATTTGTGCCTTCTGGGATGTTGGATCTCTCAGCTGCCTTCTGGACCTGACATTTCTGAACTCTTTTTGCCATTATATGCTAAAACTGATACATGGAGAATCTTTTCCCAAGGAAATGTGTCCCTGATACTTCCTCTTAAGGAAGCATCACTCAATGATAGCGCAAATACTTTGTGTCCTAGCCACAACCTCTGTTAGCCTACAAAGTCACATATAAGACAACGGTTATATTCTTTGTCTCTCCTTGCTTCCTCTCACTCTCAATATGTGAGAAATTCAGTGTGAGTGATTATATGTGAGGCCATTATATACACAAAACATTGGCTGAGGTGATTTCTCTCCACAGTCTTGCCTTTTTTCAACATCACTGAAGCTGGTTGCCTCTTTATCCTCTTGTTGTTGTCTTGTCTAATGCTCATTTTCCAAATAAGCTTGCCAGCCATGACATACATTGGGATAATTTTCTTAGAAAGTGCCGAATATGGAAGACTGACAATAAAACAGCATTCTCTAACTTAGGCCCATCGTGATAACTTGGGATCATTATCAATGGTTCTGGCTTGATAGTAACAAAAGTTGTAGATGACATTTAGAGAGCTGCAAGCTGGAGAAGATTATTACAAAGAATTGGCCACCCTCTTTGCCCTTCCAGTTACATCAGTTTGATGTCTGTTGACAAAAAAAACCAAGGACCAGTTGGATTTCTGATTTGATCCACTAAGTCTTTCTTGGATTTGCTTCCTTGTTTGTTTCAGAGTTATGAGGGAAGGGAAAACGTTCTCCACTTTCCAAGATCTGGAATCTGGCCTACTATAAGAGATGGTAGAATCCCTTTTCTGGAGTATTAATTTTTCTAGGATATTAATTCTTTAGCTTGTCATTTTTGAGACACTGCATTATCTCTGTAATAAATGCAGAACATATGAGAAGCAAATATGGCTTACTCAATGGTACATCTTGAGTGGCCGAGGTACAGTCTTCCAGATGGCCTTGGAATACAACTCCTTTCATCCCTGGTGTTTAACTGTGCTAACTGATGAATATTGGAAATTCAGCAATATCCATGCATTTTTGTAGGTCTGGGAAGTTAACAGTGCATTTGAAACTCACAAAACATCTTAGTTAACAGCTCTTTAGCCCTGTTAACTTCTCATCTTCATCCTGAGTTGAGTTCTTGTTTGGTTCCTGAATAGTAAATTTGAGCCTATGGTTCTGAATAATAGTTCCACAACATCTGAAGCCATGGATTTTCCACCCCGTTCTATGTTTTAGGTGCACAAGGCCAGAGGCTAAAAGTTCTAGACCAATTCACAGAATTTGCACAGAGAGGATGTGCTTTGAATGTTTCACCACGTTTGACGTTCCTCATGTTCTGTCAGCATTCCAAATACTTTGGTTAAATTGAAGCTGGTTTCTGTTCCTGTTTATGTTTGTTAAGGTTTGAACCTTGTGAGCATCTTCCTTTATTCCTCCTTTTCTCCTTCACGTATTGTCTTAGCTCACGTGAGCTTTACGGTTTTTAATGTGCACTCTCTTTTGAGAGCATATGTGAATAGTAATTTTCTACATATGCTATTTTGGGATGTATCTTTTTGAAGCATAAATAATAAAGACAACAGCAGGGGGAAAAAAGTGTTGGAATTTTTGTGGCTGTTTCTTTTTTCCTCCTCAACTACAGTCAGCAAATAAGATGTCACAAAGAATCAGGGACTCAGAGCATCAAGTTCTTTGAAGAATATTTACCTTCATAATAAGATACTTCAAGCAATGCCAGTCCTTGTTGTAAAAGAGACTTTGATACAAATAGGTGTTTTAACCAAGTGCTGGAGTAAATGGAGTAAAACCGGGAATGAAATTTCTCTTAGTCTAATGTAACCTATACAAAGGAGAATATTTTTAAGTGGCCCTTTACTGTGTCTTAGCAGTTGTAGTTTTTATTTTCTTATAAAACAGAAAAGGCGATTGGATCCTTCAAATCTAAATCTTAAAAGAATAATACATGGCCAGAAGTTTATATGTGTACTAGGAATGGGTAACCAAATTTAGCTGTCCTGACACCATGAAAATCAAGGATAAAACCTGAGGGGGTGGGGGGGACTTTTTTTGGCATAGCAAGATTGATAAGGAGTCATGTTCTCTGACTTTTTAGAAAATACAAACTCTTCATCAGGTCCCAAAACAGGAATTCTACGAGTAAGCAATAAAACACAATGAGCAACATAACACAACCCATGGACTACATTATTTTCAAGAATAGAGCGTGACGATGTGGCCAAATGCTTACAAGTCAAGTATAGTATAATTAGTCCTTGACTTCTGACCAAAATGGGGACCAGAATGTCCATTGCTAAATGACACCGCTGTAAAGTGTGACATCGCATCACTGCATTGCTTAGTGACCGCAATCCCTGCAGTCCTTAGCACCATCGTAACTCCAGATGCATGGGTTGTTAAGCAGAAGTGAACAGTGTCCCAGGTAAGGAGCACGAGGTTGGGAACCTTGAGATTGGGAGAAGTCCTGGGCAGGCTACAAATGAGTTAGAACTGAATAAAATATACTTTTACTGCAACTCTTACTAAAGCAACATATTAATGCACTTTGACCATATGGCATATTGCCTTATCTTACTATTCTGGCATTAAAAGATAGTTCAAAGGCTGAGAAGGCAGAACCTTTGGTATCTGCCATGTAAGCCTCCTTCCAAGATCACACAATTCTTTTTTTACATTAATCCAGACTTGGTAGATCCCAATTCTTCATAAATGGAAGGATAGCGTATACGTTAAATAAATAGACTAATTCCAACATTTTTGAATATATACAGTTTTAAAGTTAACATTTGAATTCATATACTTCCACCTTCACCTTTGGGACAACCATGACCTGCATGTCCATAGAGTTTAGCGTCTGTGTCCTCTACCAGTGTCTGGAATTTGTGGGAATTGGGAGGAACAAATGGGTTTAATCCCATTGGGACCATGTGGCTGTAGATTTGGGACCTCTTGGATCTCTGTGATTTCTGTCTTTAATCTTGGAAGGAATTGGCCTTCCTTCTTTGAGACTGATTATAATCGGGGTCAACTTCGACTTGCAGCTCCTGTTCAGCCAAGAGGACCTTTGCAACTTAATGCAGTGATCTGGTGACATCCATTCCTAGATCAGGCACTCTTCCAGCATGACGTCATGGAGTGCTGTTACCTTCCCACTGAAGTACCTGCCGTGTTTCCCCGAAAATAAGACCAAAAGATGCATTAGGGCTTATTTTGGGGGAAATGTGTCCATATGGCTAGATGTGCCTGTCTGGATGACAATCTTAACTGGGTTTTATTTTTGCAGGGGGGTGGGGTAGGACTTATATTACGAGTATCCTAAAAAATCATAGAGCTTATTTTCCAGTTGGGTCTTATTTTTGGGGAAACACGGTATTTATCTACTTGCATTTGCTCCACTTTTAAAGAGTGGTGTGGTGGCCTAAAAGTGGAGCTCTCCCCTCGCAATCAGGAGCCTGTGAGTATCATCCTAGGTAAAGGCAGATATTTCTCTCTGGGCACAATGAGAATTTATCTACTGAATAAAATTCCGCATTGGTGACAGGAAGGGCATCTGGCCAGTAAACACTGCTCCGTTCAGTTGCCCAGACTCCACACAAGGGATTATGGGGTCATAAAAAGGAGATGATGATGATGATTTGTATGCTTTTAAAACTAGGATGGCAGGAGTTGGGGCAAGGACAGGAGCTCACCCCAAGATTGGAAGCTTGAGTCTCAAATCTGGGTTGCTGGCTTTTCCTCTTAGCCCCTGAGCCATACCGCTGCCCCGATCCCTGCAAGACCAACGTGAAAACCTTCTTGATCCAGGGGTCCGGAGGCTCTCCTTCCCCATCCAGGCTCAAATGGGCTCCAGATTCTGGGATAGCACTTTGACAACTTCACCTGCATTATTGAGATATAAAATTGGGTGCTATGCCCATACTCAAGACAATGGATGGTGACATTCAGTACTCTGTAGACATTAAACAGGAGGGGGAAGAGAGAGTCAACCCCACAAGTCAAGGAGAGATCCAACCTAGAACCAAGGAGGAATTTCCTGACAGGGAGAGCAATGAGCCAGTGGAACACCTGGCCTCCAGGAGTTGTGGGTGCTCCATCACTGGAGGCTTTTAAGAAGAGACTAGACAGCCATTTGTCTAGAAGGGTATAGGATGGGTCTGCAACCTGCGGCTCTGGAGCTACATGCGGCTCTTTTCAGTCCTCTGCTGCAGCTCCCTGTCGGCTGATATCACCACTGGCTGGCCCCTCCCCTCCCCTCTCCGTCACTCCTCGCCTGGCCTGAGAAGGTAAGGGTGATGGCGGGGGATGTAGACTCGCTCCATGTTCTGACCCAAACCTGGTTCCAAGAGAGCAAACACAAGACAAAGGCAGCAGCATAACCTTTTAATGTTTCATCTATGAATCCTGTTTCTTCACAGATAAAAGGCTGCTTCCAACTAATTAGCTCCGACAAGAAAGAGCCTTGCCAAGTTTTTGCGAGGCTGCCAAGGAGAACCATATAAGAAATAGTTTACAACACAAGAGTCTTCAAATACCAACTGTAATGTCCACGAGGCTGAGTTTCAGAACATCTTTGCTTCCTACAAAGAACATTTGCTTCACAGCTGGCTTTTATCTTCTTGAAAGGGTGGCCGTTACCTTGCAGCCTTACTCCCGAGTCGCCTGTGTTGTTGCAGCGGCTCTTTCCTGCGAGCAATCCTGCTTGCACGCGCACTTGGCACAAGTTCTTCAGAAACCTCCTCATCGCTGCCGCCAGCCCCCACAATCTCTGAAGGCAGCAGTCCACTCCCTCATGGTCCTGGCTCCTCATCTGAGTCCTCGCTCTCCTCAGCCGTCCACACCTGCTGACGGCTAAACACAGCGCTCCATATTCCAGAGCAGGAGGTGACTGGGTGGGAGTTTAGTGACAGCGAGTTGGCCACGCCCACCCAGTCTCACCGGTGGTTAAATTATTGGCTCCCAGTGTTTTCTGTGAGAAATGGGTCCAAATGGCTCTTTGAGTGATTTTCTGTGAGAAATGGGTCCAAATGGCTCTTTGAGAGATCCTATACCAGGGGTTGCAGACCCCTGGTATAGGATCTCTTGCTAGTTTAGACTAGAAAACCTCCAAGGCCCCTTACAACTCTTGTTGCTCATGTGAGGGGCTGCAGCATGATGTCTCCTTTCACCAATGATTAGCACTAAACATTGAGATGGATGCAAGTCACTGCAGCACAGTGCCCCCTGCTCCTCTTCCCCCTCCCCCCTTCCTTAGGTGACATGCATATTAGAAGGCCAGCCTATGAGTAGGGACTGTCTGGCCCTTTATATTTGTAAGCCTCTGAACATTTTTTGGGTAACAAGCACATTAAAAAAAACACGCAGAGGACATACCTCCATGCAAAACACAAAGCGTGTCTAATGCAAAGCTATTTTTCAAACTAAATTGCTTTCTTTTAATTGCCAAATTTTATTGGGCTGCTCAAAAGTTGTGTTGTTTTCCATTGTTCCTAAACAAGGCAGAACGGCTGCCGATTCTCCTTCGGTTTTAGAAACTCCGATGGCTACTTTTTTTTTTTGTTAAATGATTGAGAGCTGCCACTAGATGTCTCTCTTTGGCTTTTTGTGTTTTGCAGACACAGAAGCCGCCTATATCCAG